TATATAAGTCGTGAGGACCAGAAACTAGAAGCATTTGGCTGGTTAAGTATTTGGCTGGTTAGGCATTTGGCTGGTTAAGCATTTGGCTGGTTAAGCATTTGGCTGGTTAAGCTTTCAGACTTTGAAGCAGTACAGTTCAGCTGGGATTCATTCTGGATGAGGACTCAGAGGCTTCCAGTCTGAGGAAACAGGACCAGCTGAGGAACTGGTGAGGTGAGATAGCTGTGGCTTGTTCTGTCTCTCTGACCTTCTAGTATTCACCCCAATAACTGGCCTTGGGTTTGATTTTATTAATAAGAACTTTTAAGATTCCTGCTACATGTAACTGTAGTCAGTATAGGGTGTGTGATGTTAAGAGCTCTAGATCTGTATTGCTAAAAACATCACACACTTGAGCTATAGAGCACGGAGAAATCAAGCTAGTACTGACCAAGCTCTATCTCTACTGGCTAGCTTGCATAGTGCTTGAAGGTGCTATGCTTAAGAACTATAATAGTTGGGCTGGAGAGATGGCTCAAAGGTTAAGAGCACTGGCTGTTCTTCCAGAGGTCCTGAGTTCAATTCCCAGCAACCACATGGTGGCTCACAACCATCTGTAATGAGATCTGGTGCTCTCTTCCTGCAGGCATACATGCAGGCAGAACATTGTGTACATAATAAATCAATAAATCTTAAAAAAAAAAAAAAAAGAACTGTAACAGTGACCAACCTGGTAAGATGTGCTCAATGGTGCTATAGTGGCATGAATGCCATGGGAACAACCAATCACTTTCTGAACGTCTTGAAGCCACCTTCACAACATAATAAAACCCATTCTTGTTACTGTTATTGGGAACAAAAAAGCTTATGACCAGACAGATCATAGGCCCTAGGAAAGAATCTACTGTCAGAGAACCTAAAGGAACCTAGGATCAAGCTGGCTTCTTATGACTTATCGTTATACCCATAGATTAGCACATCCGCAGAGGAGTGTGTGATTAACACAGGGACCACAACTGATTAAGATGTGGAAAATAAGAGACTGTGCCATACACATCCCTCAATGAGACATGTATCATACCCCCTTCTTCCCAGTGTGCAGGCATCAGTGCAGAAGAGGCAACAGAAAAGATTGTAAGAGCCAGAAGCAGTGATTAACCACAGGGAAACACTATTTTCTGTACACGACAGGGCACTTGCACATATGAACTCACAGTACTTGTGACAGTATGCACAAGACCTGTGCAACTCAAGTCAGACCAAATCCCACCACGGAGAGGGGAGGTGGACACAAAATCCCAACCATAGCCGAGGAGCTATTGGCGACTGATAGATGCCAGGAGAGGAAGAGCTCATTTTCTTTAAGGGTGTGACCACTGATAGGCAAACCATACTCCAGTGAATACAGACCCACCCTAGAGCATAGGGGCAGCCCAAATTGGACTTGTTGAATTTTAGAAAATTTAGAAAACCACCAAGTTAGATGGGTAGAGAGGTAGGGTGGATCTGGGAGGAGTTGAAGGAGGGTTGATGAATATAATCAAAAACACTTGTATGAAATTCTCAAAAAAATTAATTTTAAATAAGTTTTAGAGTTGGATAATCTCGGAGACTACCCATTTTCTAAGTGGGAGTTTTAGGTGAACAATTGGAGACTTAGGTAATATTATAGACTGAAATACTTGTGTCTCCGCCAAATTCCTATGATGCCAAATGTGACTGTATTTGGACAAAGAGCCATAAGGAATCAATTAAGTTAAATGGGGTTGGACACCTGGCCCAATAGGATTAATGTCCATCTAAGAAGATAACCAGAGCCTCCACAAACACAGAGGTAAGGCTACATGAGCATACAGCAAGATGGTAACTCACTACAAACGTACAGAAGAGGTTTCAGATTAAATTGGAATTGTCTAGGTAAGAAAATGTCTGTTGTTGAAGCCAACCAGCTTGTTGTGTTTTGTTATGGTAGCTGGAGCTGACTCATACAAAGTCTGATTGATTGAATACTGAGAGTCTGAAATTAGACTCTCAAGCCACATGTGAAAGTATTTGATCTAAATTAAATTGTATAGTTCTCTATTCCTTTCAAACCAAATTTGTTCTAAGACAGGATTTGGAAACCGGAGTCGCCGGGAGTAGGGGAGTGGCTTTAGGGAGCCATCTTCTTGTCCTTTCGAAAGGCTGCTGGGTCCCTCCTACACCAGGCATATAAGAATGTGGATCTAGAAACCACAAGACAAAGTAAAACCACATCCTCATGATAGCAGCAAAGCATAAGCAACCCATATTTATAAAATCCTGTTCATACTATCTGCATGGAAATTTGCTTCCTTGCTTCATACACAGCTTCTCTTACCTGCAGATCTTCTTGTTCCAGGCAACTAAGTAGTGATACACAAGCAGTAGCTAGATTATATGGGAAAATAGAACTCTGACCCACAGCCTGCCCTGGAAACCAGCCCCTTATCTATAGTAAAACAGCCCAGGAAGCCAGCCTGCTATAGGTCAGCTTGCAGGAAGCCAGCCTGGTATACATCAGGCTCACAGGAAGCCAGCCTGCTATCTCTGGTAAGAACCTAGGAACTAAGCCACAACCCTGTAAGTATCAGCTCTAAACGGCCAAGACTTGATTAATAAGAAACAACTTCCCTAATCTTTCTTTCTGCTTTTAATTTAAAACCAATTAAAGAAAGCCAAATATGTCCCCCTAGCCAATTATAGATGATGTTAGACCAACTTCAGTGCCCCAAGGTCAACAACCCAATCAACCAGGCACATAAGAAACTTTCCCTTTTCCCCAGCAAAGTTTGCCTGTGCCTGTTAACTGCCTTTGAGTCTGTCAAAATGTAAATGAAGAGGGTGGGTTCCCTTGCCCCTCAGCTCTAAACACATAGCTTTACATTTCTTATTTGACTTGTCTCTGTTCATTTCCACACCGTCTATACATATGACTTGGGAGGGCCTTTTTACCCTTCATTGTGCTCTGAAACATTTTCTGTTAGGTTTATGATGAAGATAGGTTTCACATATGATGGAAAATGGTTAAGGGAATTGCTGTGGGGATGTTCTGTATGTCCTGTGGGAGCCCGTTCTTGGGTTCCTCATGGCTTTACCCAGCAGGTCTGCATAGAGGATGATTAGGACCACCAGCGTGAGTGCAGGTGTCTGAGATGGTCTGCACTTGGCTGTGCTGGGGGATGGTCTGTATGTCAAGTTGCTCTGATTGGTCAATAAATAAAACACGGACTGGCCAGTGACTAGGCAGGAAGTATAGGCGGGACTAACAGAGAGGAGAAAAGAAAGAACAGGAAGGCAGAAGGAGTCACCGCCAGCTGCCGCCAGGACAGGCAGCATGAAAAGATGCCAGTAAGCCATGAGCCACGTGGCAGGGTATAGATTTGTGGAAATGGATTAATTTAAGCTATAAGAACAGTTAGCAAGAAGCCTGCCATGGCCATAAAGTTTGTAAACAAAATAAGTCTCTGTGTTTACTTGGCTGGGTCTGAGCGGCTGTGAGACTGGCGGGTGACAAAAATTTGTCCTGACTGTGGACCGGGCAGGAAAACTCTAGCTACAGGGAATCTTATACAGCATGGGGGGAAATATCCACACTGAACTAGAGTAAGGGTAGAAATTAGTCCTTGGCCTGAAGTATACGAATACCCAAGCCTCAAAAAGAGAAAATGCTCCCTTCTTCTGGCACATACGAACTTTGAAATCAGCCCATGACCCCAAGTCCCTGTGGTGCTGTGTCTCCAGTCCTTCACCACTTGTTGCTATTATTATCTTTCATCCTCTGTCACCTTTGCTTTTGTGAGTAGCGACTTAGCCGTATATCCCCAAGTTCTTGGATGTGACCCCCAGTGGCCGCAGTTCCCTGTCCTCATAGTGCCATTGAGCACTATGGTGGTAGCCTGGCCTCCAGGTTGACCCTCTGGGGACTGGGCACACAGTCTAGGTGGTTGTTTTGTTCCAGCGGTAGGAGAAGCATGAGGAACACTTCAAAGGATGCTCTCAGGGCTGATCTTGGCAGTCCTGCTGTTTTGAAAGACAACAGAACAGTAGAAGGCAGGGGATTTCATTTCTTGGTGCTTCCCTGCTCAGCCCTGGAAACAAGAATAGCAAGTGCATGGGGGAGAATCACTTGAACTAAGTCTTTATCTGCCTGCTTGGGAAAAAGGCCTTATATGAAAACAAAAGCATCAACCAAGAAACTTGTGGCTTAACGCAGACTGACTCCTGGTTTGTTTTTCAATATGGATTTGTTTTTTTTTTCTTAAAGTTCAGTGTTGCTGATAGATAAAAATTTTATTTCACGAAATTTCATTTCAATAAATTTAGAAATGAGGTTTCTAGCAGTCATCTTCATTAACAAAATAGTTCGATGGAAAATAAAGATCCCAAGCTGCCATGTGTTGTTCAGTAGCTGATTTCCTTTCATAGTAGATGGTTTGCCAGGGTTTAACCCATGTGGATAACAGCACTCAAGAAGGTTCAAAAAGAATTGTTTTGATTGGCCAGTCTTGCAGGAGGGTTGGCGAGCGATGAAACAATTCAAAGTAGCAGAGTTCAGGAAGAGTGGAGTCAACACAGACACAATCTACCAATCTGATTTTTCTTGTCTGTAGATATGGATCAGGTGGTTACATGGACTGGAGACTTTGAGTCCAGTTTATCCAGCGTAGATTGGAAATTGCAGCCCCTTATTTTTGTGCCTCTGATTCAGAAACATGGTTTAAGGTTGCACAGATATCAGTTACAGACAACTAGCAGACCTTTTTTGGAAAGAGGTATGAGAAGTCAGCAAATGCAGTTGATGGGGAAAATTGATGTCCTTGGAGAGGTACTTGCTAGTCAGGCACTCATGGAGTAGAAAAAGATGTGTTAAGCAGGCCTTTGTTGTGTTTTTGTTGTTGTTGTTTGGTTTTCACATTAGTTTTTTTTTAATTACCTATGCCTTTAAGTTATAGGATAGTTAGAACCAACCTCTTCAATACCATAATCCCTTTGTGTTATCTTGTATTCCTTCTTATATGTATCAAAACTCACACTGAACAATGAGTTCAGATTTGCAAAGGAGGATTTATTTTTGCAACTGTATGACCTGCTATTGTCCACCAGCTGCACAAAAAATGTACAAGTGCTCAAGGCCCTGGCTTTGAGTTCGAATCATACACTGAATTCTCAGCCCTGGCCCAAATATTTCCCCATCCCATGCCAGGCACAACCCCCTGTTTCTCATTGGGTTGGCCTGGTGATTGACTTCCCTGGTGACCACTGGGCCACCCTCATTAACCAGTCACTCTCTTTGAATTTTCCCTTCCATCTCTAATCTCTATGTCTGACAAGGAACTTGCTTTCCCTGACCAAACTCTTATCTACTCCTGAATCTTTTTCCAGTCTAGGCTTGGTCCTTAAGTCTGACCTTGGTCTGCTAAATCCAGTCTTAGTAGAGACCCATGCTTAGTCAGTATGGTGATATTTTATTTGTGCTGAAATGTGATTTTATTTGTATGTTAATAAATAAAGTTACCTGGGAGTCAGAGCTAATAGCTAATAGCAAGCCATAGCAGAAGTCTGGCAGTGGTAACACACGCCCTTAATCCCAATCACATGACAGGCAGATCTCTGTGTGTTCAAGGACACCACCAGCACAGAGACACATGCCTTTAATCTCAATACCAACCATAGAAGACTTGGAGTTCTGCTGTGGGATGGTCTGTATGTCAAATTACTCTGATTGGTCAATAAATAAAACACTGATTGGCCAGTGGCCAGGCAGGAAATACAGGTGGGACTAACAGAGAGGAGAAAAGAAAGAACAGGAAGGCAGAAGGAGTCACTGCCAGCCGCTACCCTGACAAGCAGCATCTGAAGATGCCAATAAGCCACGAGCCATGTGGCAAGGTATAGATTTATGGAAATGGATTAATTTAAGCTATAAGAACAGTTAGCAAGAAGCCTGCCACGACCATACAGTTTGTAAGCAATATAAGTCTCTGTGTTTACTTGGTTGAGTCTGAGTGCTGTGGGACTGGTGGGTGACAAAGATTTGTCCTGACTGTGGGCAAGGCAGGAAAACTCTAGCAACAGAGTTCTGTATAGACACAGTGATGAGGAGGTCATTTGGTTGGGTTTACAACCAATGAGAAGACAGAACAGAAAGTCAATAAAAGGACAGATACACAGGAAGTAGGTCTCTTTCTCAGGGGAAGGACAACAGTGGCAGCAAAGGGTAAGAAGGTGGTTTTAAGTCTTAGCTCTTAGCTACTGTCCTGGCCTCTTGGGCTTTTAACTCTGCTTTTGGCTCTGTGTTTCTTATTTAATAAGACTGTTACATCTACAAGTCAGTTTAGAGAGAACCTCTGTCTTAGTTAGGGCTTGTATTGCTGTGAAGAGACACCATGACCATAGCAACTCTTATAAAAGAAAAAACATTTAATTGGGGAGGGGAGAGGCTCAGTCCATTGTCATCATGATGCAACAGGGTGGCATGCAGGCAGACATGGTGCTGGAGCAGGAGCTGAGAGTCCTTACATCTTGATCTGAAGGCAACAGGAAGTGAACTGTCTCACTGGGCATGGCTTGAGCATATATAAGACCACAAAGCCCGCCTCCACAGTGACACGCTTCCTCCAACAAGGCCACTCCTCCTAATAGTGTCATTCCCTATGGGGGCCATTTTCTTTCAAACCACCACAACCTCCTAGGTCTCTTCTCTCACCAAGGCTTGATACCTAATAAATTCTTTTTTAGTAGACCTCCATCTATTCATTCCTCCTGCCTGTTGGCTATAAACAGCCACTTCTCCTAGTGGTCTCTAGAGCTGAGACCAAACTCCCTCCCTTACTACAGCGGTCTCAAGCTCTCCCTTGCCATTTGAACATGGTTGGCATAATTTCTCATTAACACTTCCAAACCACATGAAGTTCTTTTTTCTTTAAGTTCACACTCCTCTTCTTTTGAGTAATACCCACTGTTGGATGCTGGAGACTGAGTTCTCAGGGATTTAAGAAACATAATTCTTTATATCTTACACAGTTCTCATGTAGTATCAATATCTATCAGTACTTAAATTCTGCCTCAGAATTTTTTTACAGTTGACTTCCTTGAGTCAGGACCCCCAAGATACACACATGATACATGTAGTTGATAGATTGCTCAAGTCTCCTTTAAGCTGTTCTCACTTCCCCATGCCATTCATGACATTTATTTATTAACAAAACCAAGTCATTTGTATTATAGAATTTACCACTGACTAGGCTTGGCCAGTCCCATCATTGCAGTATCACTTAACATGGCATCCATTCTGCATATGTCCTATAATCCATAGCTATATTTTGATGCTTGATTAAATTCAAATGCAGTCTTTTCAGTGGGAAAAACTCACGGAGGAAGCTGGTACTTAACTGCAGCTCTCATCCAGAGATATATAACATTTCTCTTCCTTATTAATTTCCAACTGTTCAAAGAAGGGGGAAACCACGCTGATTTTAATGCAGGTTAATGTAGCTTTCTGCACGTGACAAAAAGGATATAACTTTAGAGCCTGACAGGCTTGTGATTGGTTGGTTGGACTGCATGACCCTGTGTGGCTAGCATTGCTCTCATAATGTTATTATTATTTTTGTTTCTCTTATTTTCTTCTTCTTCTTCTTCTTCTTCTTCTTCTTCTTCTTCTTCTTCTTCTTCTTCTTCTTCTTCTTCTTCTTCTTCTTCTTCTTTGTTCTCTTCCCCCTCTTCCTCCTTCTTCCTTTGAGGTAAGGTCTCATGCATCCCAGAATGTGCAACTGTGTAATTGAGAATTACTTTGAACTTTGGATCCACTTGAGAGTTAGATCAGTCTAACACTAAGTACCAGGATTGCAGACTTCCAGTGCTATTAACGGATTGAATTTGGGGCTCTGTGTGTGCTAGGCATGCACTTTACCAACTATAAATATTGTTGAGCTTGGTTCTGGGGTGCAGTTAAATCACCTGTAAAGACTTACCTTTTGGATTTTAGATGGGCCAAGAACACCGGTGTAGGTTTAGCTTTGTGTTACCACCAAAATGAGACTCTTCAATTTATCTATCTGTGGATTATACAGATTTTAAGTTTGTCTGGTGGCTCCTGTGATCCTTGGGAGTGATTTTTTTTCCTCAGTTGCAAGTAATTTTCTCACACATGAATAGGTAGGTTCCTCTACTGGATACTTAGATCTATGGATGTCTTTGCAAAGTTCTCTCTTCTCTTGGGGTCTCCCCTGAGAACTCTGATTTTCACTCCAGACTCCTAGCTTCATCTCAGTTTAAGTCAGTTGGGCTCTGCTTAAATTGCCTCTTTCTGGGCCATCACCTAGAAAGACAAGGCTGAAAACTGGGACAATCATTGGACATTGACTTCATTTATTTATTTATTTATTTATTTATTTATTTATTTATTTATTTATTTACTTTTGGTTTTTCAAGACTGTGTTTCTCTGTGTTACAGCCCTGGCTGTCCTGGAACTTACTTTGTAGACCAGGCTGGCTTCAAACTCACAGAGATCTGCATGTCTCTGCCTCCCAAGTACTGGGATTAAAGGCCTATACCACCACACCCAGCAATTCCCTCTTATTTCTTAGCAACCTTTCCTCCCCATTACTTGATACCTAACATCTAGAAGCTATTGTTTCATGTATTTTTGTCTAAAGTTTTAATTACTTCATGCAGGAGAGAACAGTATATTTTGGGCAAAGTCAAAACCTCTAAAAGAGGTTCCATTCCTCATTAGGCAGTTGATATCCTCTATGAACATGGTATATATTTTCTTTTGTTTAGGCTTTGTTTAATTTTTCTTTGGAAATGCTCTTAGTTATTGATGTAGAGACCTACTGGCTATTATTTTAGAGTTATTTCTAAGTATTCAGTTTTTAAAAATTCATTTCTGGTAGCCCTTATTGTTTTTAGAAAGTCTATATTTCTTGCCTGGTATCAATTCCACTGGACCTGAAGAAAATTTTGTAATTTTTTTCTGTATATGCTTAATTAATCATGGAATACCTATGTTGTTCTGCAAATATTTGGATTTTTAGAAACTATGATTTTTATGATTTATCCTGTTTGTGCTTATGGTTAAGCCCCCTATTATGTGTATACATTTTTGTTAACTTATTCTAACATAAAAGTTTCCATGGAGCCTGAATATATAGAGTAGATAAAATAGAATATTTTGGAATAAGAAAACATTTGAAGGGGAGGGGCAAGGGGAAAAGTCTATTTGAGCGAAAGTGGAGTGAGGCAGGGGAAGGTGTCCCATGGGCTTCCTTACTGTGCTTTGGGTTGTCTCCTGGGAGATGGTATAGAGCCGATTGGAAGACTCTGGTCAACCCAACAAGTTTCAATCTCACTTGAAGTCTCCCATTTTTACCCTAGGGTTTAATTTTCTCAATATTTTTGGTGTCCAGTGCTGTCTTCTTTTTTATATTCCATTACTAATGTTATTCTGACCCTCCCAGTATTTACCCCCTCTCCTAATTTAATTTACTTACCTTGAAGGCCATGTCACCTGTCAGCATCTCTGTATCCTCAAGACTGGTATGACACTTATTTGGGAGGGCTGTAGAATTTACTATGGTACATAGGGCCATAGTCCTGGTTTCGTTACTTATACTCTTATCTTTGGCTGGACATCATTTCTTCTAGGGAGCAGCTGAGTTGTAACTCTTCTTATGCCATATTTGGGTCTGGGAGAGATAGGCAAGCCATGTACATGCTCTGTAATGACCACTCTGGAAGTATGAAACTCATTTATCTGACTGATGTGACTCTGTATTAGCCAGGACTGTCCTGTGTCTGCGATTTAGTATTTTCGTCTTGAGGCCCCAAAGACACCTAAGATGAGCCCATTTCAGATTGTTGTTAACCCTTTGGAACAAGGTATCTGACTTTCTTTCCACCGCTAAGCCATAGAATTCTGGCTCAATGTGTCTTTTCAGTATGAGTAGTGTCTGAAAATTCACTACCTTGCCTCAGTTGGGTTCTGGCTGTGGTCCAGAACCACACTTCAGTTGCATTAATGCGGCTATAAGAGGCACCAACCAAGAGTGTGTCTCTTTCCTGATATGCACAGAGCTGTCAGCGACACAACTGGCCTATTGCAAGGTGACACCTGGAATCTCTA